GGACCAGGACCAACACTGGGACCAGGACCAACACTGGGACCAGGACCAACACTGGGACCAGGACCGACACTAGGTTGTACTGACACGTTTTAAAAGACAACATATGAACCAGAGTAATATTTAAAACAACCAGAAATACGTGTACAACAGCAGGTAGTCTGCGGTACTACACCTCCTTTATCATACGTTTATACAGGATATAAACACAAGGGGTCTCTGGTCCATCTCTATAGCAGTTTCAAGGTCTTTGACCTGGAAATCCTGGAAATCCCAGGATGTGGGGGGGGGTCACTGGGTGGATTCACAAATAATTCATATTAACAAAGATTGGTTCTAAATTCTAGTGAATTTGATTTAGTGCCATCAGTTTTTAGTGCCTCTGTTTCCTGGCAGCTGAAGTTCCAGTACATCAGAAGAGTAGCAGTACTACGTGAGGAACCGATGGTCCTGAGTGACAGGAACTGTGCTGTGGAGGCACAGTGCTCCTTTGTCTCACACTGTGTGTGTCCTCCTCACACAGAGGGACANGTATTAATGGAAGCTGCTCCATAAACATGTAAATCTGACCTTACTGAGTTTCAAAGCTGTGGCGCCTGTGAATGAAGCAGCACGGCTGTAAAGAGCTGCTGCAGCCTCGTCTCACTTACACCACAGGACGATTCACACACAGGAGCCTTTTATTCTCAAATACCACACACACAAGCCCTGCCCCCACCCCAAAAATACCCAGAACACCCCCCACTGACCACTAGCACCATTACCACCGTGTGTGTAGGGGGATCTCCAGGGATGGAATCCACCTGCTTCACTTTAACACACACACACACTAAAGTAGGACTTCTTCTTCTTTCTTTTGTCAGACACAGGGAGACAAACAACCATTCACAATAACATTCACACCTGTGGTCAGCTCAGAGTGAACCATCACCTTCATGTTTCTGGACTGTGGAGGAAACTGGGGAACGTGGAGAACACTTCACACACCCAAGAACCAGAGGACTGGTTATACTGAAAGACCAGCTGTAAGAGCTGGGAATTGAACCACTCACCTTCTGGCTGTAAGGCATGAGCACAAACCACTTGTAAAAGAGGAGGTTCCCTCAGTTCACTGACCAGTAAAACAGTTAATTCACAGAAGAGGGATGTCAACCAGCAACCAACGGTGTCACCTTGAACCAACCTTTCTGAAAATGATCACATTGATATCAGTGATAACATCACCATGACAACCAATCACAGTTTGTTCAGTCCAGATCAGCAGATCCATGGACCCCAGCTCTGTCAGTGTGAGGTCGAAGGTCAAACCTCACATGTCATGTGATGAGCCAGGATGATGTTCCAGAGAACACAGACTGTAAAGAAGTCTCTCTTCATAAAGTGAAGAATTCTCAAGGTTTTGAGTTTCCTGGAATCTGTGAGATGAGCTGTTCTGGTTCTGACTGGACCTGCAGACCTGCAGCGTCTGCTGCCAGCAGAGGAAAAAGTCTCCTCTGTCATCGGCAGGATGAATTACAGACATACCAGACAGGATCAGGGTACCCAAGAGTTCCAGGATCAGCTGATACCACACTGTCTGAACATCTCAGCTCCAAAACACCAGCGTAAACCTGAACCTGGGTCACATGTGGACCCAGAGAGACGGGGACGTCCAGGATCGTCTGTAGGACCACTCCACTTCGCCCCAGGCTTCACCAGATTTACTTCAACAGACACGGAGCTCCAGGAACATCAAACCTGGACCTCGAGCCACCTGGACAAACATGAACTGTTCTAATAAAAAGTCAAAAGAATTCACTGAGTACATCTACCACTGATTCAAGTCACTGCTGTAAATCGGTATTTGTAAATTAGTGTCAATTAAAAGGAAAGAACAATTGATTAAATAATGGATGATGTAACTTCCCTCTGATATAATGTGAAATGTAACACATAATCCAGACTAGGATCAAACAGTGAAGGTATTCAATCAGCCGTTTACTGATCACCTGCTTTAAATGTCTGTACAGTGCCATCTTCTGGACCATATTTTCATGACATGTAACTGGTAACGTTAATGTCTACGACACAAACGTATTTATTCATATAAGAAATCCCTGTCAGTAGTTTTTACTATTGTCACATAAGTGTATGACGCATTTAATAAACCAGAAAACATTTTTTTAAAAATATGAACCGTTTCATATGTACTAAAAAACTCAGATTGTGATCGGATTATTAAGTCCATAATCGTTTTTTTTTATGTTTGGCTTCTTATTTCGTATTAACGTAATGATACCTTTGGGATTTTTTAAATTATAAAAGTTTAAAAATGAATTGTAAATAATGTTTCCTCCGTGTCGCAGAAGTGTGACGTCAGTTTGCCGGATGTGGCTAAAGCGGATGCGCCGATTCTACATCCACCGTGAGTAGATTGATGTTTCTGTTGTTGTTGTTTCACAGACTGTGTTCGCAGATATTTACCACTGAGCCACAGATCGAGTCTCTGAACCGGCGGACACCGCTCGGTTTACCTGCAGTCGGTATTTCCGGCTACTTATCGTCTGCCTCAGTCCGGTTCTGATCAAGAACACCAAAGGCTAATGTCAGCCTGACTGTGATGAGAGAAGAAAGGAACGTCTGAATTTTCTCAGTTTAGATCCAGCTCAGGTTTGGATGAGCGCCCCCTCTGACAGAGCAGACACAGCGTCACCATGTAAGAACGGATTTCTAACCATATGAAACCCGGGGCCGAGTGGTGAACGGAGAGGTTTAGAAGTTTGGAGCAGTTTCGGAAGATGCTGTTGTAAACAGAAGTTCTCAGTCAAAGCTCAGACGCGTCTAGAACAGTTCCTGTCTTTGTGAACGTGTTTGGTTCAGTGGCTTGGCGTGAATAATCGGCACCAGGAACACTACAAGTGTTGTTTTTGACAAAAAAGGTTCTGTGGTGCGTTACAGCGCTAATGTGACAACAGCACCCCCTGGTGTTGTAAGTGCCTCTCTAGCGACAGGTGAACTGTTTAACTTCAGTCCTTTCTGTCTTCATTTACTTCATGAGGGAAAAGCAAGAAGTCATTTATGATCAACCTAAAGTGTTAGCGCCCTCTGTTGGGTCGCCGTTAATGACGTGGTATTTTAGACAGGAAGTGACAGGTGTGCTACACCAGCATGTCTTTGTGTCAGATTATTTTCAGAGGGAGAAATGGAGCTTCAGTCCCCGAGGACAGAAGCACTGAAGGGCAGAGGGAACGAGGATGAAGTACGGATCTCCAGAACCACAGAGGAAGGAGACAAGGTTGGGATGAAGAGGAAACGCGAGGACAGTCCGTCGGTGAGTGGACCTCAGATCACTCTGTTCCCCACCGTGACTCTTGATCACATGGTTTTGTCTGCCAGGCCTCTGACCACGGTGTGAAGGTGGCGGGTCACTACAACAGTCTACAGGAAGTGGGCCTGGCTGCTCGAAGTCAAAGCAGAATCTTCTTCATGAGGAACTTTAACAAATGGCTGAAGAGCGGCCTGCACGCCTGATCGGTACTGATGATCAGTTCTTCACCCACTGTGTGGACGGTAAAACGGTTCAGAGTGTTTCTTTGACTGATGTTTGTTTGACTGATTGACAGGTGAGATCCTGGAGCAGGTGAGGCAGAAGGAGAAGGAGCAGGAGCAGGTGTCTGTTCTGGACCTGGGCTGTGGGAAAGGAGGAGATCTTCTCAAGTGGAGGAAAGGAGGAATCGATCACCTGGTCTGTGCAGGTAGAACCGTGTCATCTGTTAATGTAGTAATTACACCAACATCTGCTACTCACCCCCTGACTCACCTGTCAGTGACTCACCTGTCAGTGACTCACCTGTCAGTGACTCACCTGTCTGTTCCTCCAGATATCGCAGCAGTGTCTGTGGAACAGTGTCAGAGTCGTTATGAGGAGATGAGGAGAAAAAGTCAATTCAACGACAAGATCTTCAGGGCTCAGTTCATTGCTGCTGACTGTGCCAAGGTAGAACCACAGCACCTAGATCAGTTCACTTCTGAAGTTGGACAGGAAACCTTTGACATGTTCCTGTACAGGAGCTCCTGTCGGAGAAGCTGGACGACCCTGGGCTGATGTTTGACATCTGCAGCTGTCAGTTCGTCTTCCATTACTCTTTTGAGAGTGAGCAGAAGGCAGACATGATGCTGAGAAATGCCTGTGAGCGTCTGAAACCTGGGGGTTACTTCATCGGGACCACACCTGATGCTTTTGAACTTGTGTAAGAACAAAAGTCTGTCATGTCTGAAAACACTTTTCCTTCACTTCTTTCAAATGTTTTCTTTCTTCTTCTTCTTCCTCACTGATTTGTCTTCAACCTTTTGGTCTTGTTTGCAGTAAACGTGTGGAAACCTCCGACTCGTTGTCGTTTGGTAATGAGGTTTTCAGAGTCTCCTTCCAGTCCAAAGGTTCCTACCCTCTGTTTGGTTGTCAGTATCACTTCAGCCTGGAGGACGTGGTGGACGTCCCAGAATTCCTGGTCTACTTTCCTCTGTTAGAACAGTGAGGTCACAGACAAGTTATTCTCTGTCATCCTGAACTTGACCAGTGATGTTGAAGCTCTGACTCCACCCACTCTTGTCTTTGTGTTAGCATGGCCAAGCGCTACAACATGCGTCTAGTGTTAAAGCAGCGTTTCTCAGAGTTTGCAGAGGAGAAGCTGAAGAAGGAGCATCACCGTCGACTCATGATGAAGATGATGGCACTGGAGGTGAGACGACTTTGATCTGTCTGTCTTCATTATTTCAAACTCAGCGCTCCGTTCCAGGTGTTTCAGTCTGCTGTAACACTGAGTTCAAACACAGCTGCTCCGACCACTCAGGTGTCGTCTGCTTGTTTTCAGCCCTTTCCGTGTGAGGAAGGACACGCTCAAGCCACGGACAGTAAAGCAGAGTACTGCCAAGCTAAAGAGCACTGCAGCAGAGCTGGAGTCAGACTACCTCTGGTGAGACTTCTTTCATCTAAACAGTCTTCTGACCTCATCCCTGACCTCTGTCTCTGCTCTCATGCTCTTTCTGGTGTTTGTTTGTTTTTTTCCAGGGCACATTGAGTAAATCTGAGTGGGAAGCAGCCAGTAAGTTTCATTTCACATAGACTTGTTTGTTTATAACCACTGTAACAACAGAGGGCGCTGCAGCTCAATAGTATTCCATGTCGTCCAGGTCATTAGTTCAAACAAGTGTGTAAGGTTTCATTTCACCTCCTCTGCTCCTCCCTCCTCTGCAGGTATCTATCTGGTGTTTGTCTTCCAGAAGATGCCCTGACTCTGGAGTTTTCATCTTCTGTTTCCAGTTTCTTGATGGATTTTTTTTTCTTTTCTTCTGTTTGATAAAATCTGATGTTCGTCTTTTTTTCCAGTTTGAATTAATAAAAATGAAAATCTCCCATCATGCATAAGCTCCTGACTGTGTGTGTGTGTGTGACTGGTGATCACCGTCATCTTCATGTTAAATGAACACTCCTGTGTTTAGTCAGAAAGTCCTCAGACCACGACATTCCTGCAGGTGTTTGGTGTCAGTGACCAGTTCAGACTGGTCAGTGTCTCTTTGACCAGTTTTATAATCATATCTTTGTCCAGTGTTGAGATGTGACCTGAAGCAATTTCAAATCTGACCAAGCTCATCCACAGGTTCTGATCTAGAACCTTCTGAGTTCATGTTCCTGAAAGAACAGTTGGTGTATTTCCACCACCATCACCAGTGGTGAAGTGTATTCAGTCCAATCCTCTTTTTTCTTACTTCTGTGGAGGAAACACAATCACGCACACACAGGAGAACTCATACAGAACAAGTAAGGGGGAGTGAACCGGGGACCTTCTTGCTGTAAGGCAAAGGCACTAACCACTCTGCCTTACAGTATGTTTACAGATGTGCATCTGAAATGCAACTGTGACAGACATTTTGTCTTCCTACATTTCCTTTTCAGCTCGTCATTAACAATCATGAGACACATGTTAGGATCGGCTCCGTGGCAGGAACAAAGATGCAAATCTAGTCGACATGCTTTGAATACCGTAAATTCTGGACTCAAAGCCACTACTTGTTTCACAGCCTTTGAACCCTGCAGCTTAAACAATGATGCAGCTAATTGATAGATTTTTACATGAAGTTCATCCTGCGATCATTGACTTTTTGATGGGATACTGTGTGTTAGACTAGTATGGTCTGTCTGTCTGTGAGTGTCTGTGGGTTGAGGTCAGTTGTTGAACTAGGGTCAGGGCTCTGAAGCAGCCGTGTTCCTGGGACTGTTAGGATCTTTAATCTTTCTGTGTAAATATCCCAGGTTACAGCGTGGACACCTGTGGTCTACAGACTGTGGTCTACAGACTGTCTGTACAATCATTGTTTTCTTCCTGTTCAACAGTGGTGACCCATCGGTCGTCCTGGGTGTGACCTGACCTTGTCCTGATTGACACCGACGGAACTTGTTCCACAGCATTAAACTAGTGGCTGTTGTTAATCCTAGAATAGAATAGATGTAGGTCAATTAATGGGTTCATTACCTTGTAAAACAGTAATCACCAAGTTAGTGTTTGTGAACGCTCAGTCCAGAATCATCAACATGAAGTAGGTCACTGAAGATCTGGGCCACTGCTTGTCAGGCCACATCAGACCCAGAGACCTAGAGGAGTAAAAGAGAAAAGACTCATTAATTCACGTGTCGCTGTCCTGATTCACACATGGTGAGCTGGTGAATCAGAGTGTGAATAAACTTCCAGGCCAGTCTGTCCACGTAACCAAACATCTGGACTCACTAAAGCAGTGCACCAAAACAAAACTGTTAGGCTTTTATTTTGAAGGTTTGACTTTGGTTTTGCCTCTAATTGACATCTGACCAGTCAATGACCTTCAGCTGGACACAACATCATCCACTGGAGGAGCTTTTAGAACCATCTCAACTTCTCTGTTCACTGTGTCTGTTTTCATTTCACTTTTACAGATTAATAATCCCATCATTTGGATTAGACACAGATAAAAACAGGTGAGAAACTCTGCACCTGCTGTTTGTCCAGCCGTGTTACTTTCATTAAAGAATAAAAGAAAGTAACACGGCTGGACATACAGCCAACATGTGTCTATCTGTGTACTCTTTTTTTCAGACATTTGTTTTGGTTGGACGTTTCAGCAGCCTTACAAAAGTACAAGCACGTTGTTGTTATTATTCCAGTCTGTCATGAAAAAACATCTGAAATGTAGGTCAACCTGAGACCACTGTGTCATTATTAAAGACTCGTGTTTGAAACTCACGTGTACACAGTGACACAGAGTGAAGTGTGCACGACAAAGAGCAGGATCATCAACACAGAGAAAGTAGGTCAGTGAACATTTCCACCATTGTTCCTGAAAAAAGCAGCAGGGTTTCATTAAAACTTGTTTTTCATGTTCATCAACAGAACAAAGGCAAATCAACAACAAAGACATGTAGGTCCTGGACTTCTTTTACCCTCTGTCTGTGACCTACATCAATAATAACAATAGTAATAATAATAATAACACCTATTATAATCTATATATAATAACATTATGTCACCACTTTGGAGAAGGTGACCTTTTCAGTATCTGTGTTCACATCATCCCACAGTAAGAATTATGATCAAGTTCAAATATAATAAAGAGTAAAACAGAGAGCTTTGCTGAGGTCAAAGGTCAGACGACACAAAGATCAGAAAAAGAGTGGAAACACTATAATATTTACTATCACAGGTGGAAGAGAGACGACGATGAAACAGCGGAGAGAAGAATCCAAATAATTCCAAATATTTAACAACAACAGGTCAGGGTTCACACAGCCAGTAAGGACAGAAACAGAAGGACACGGGATGTGGGTCATACCTGTGTGTTTGCATGCGGGTCACACTGGTAACAGCTCCCCAACAAACAGGTCCTGGATCAGTACCAGACACTGGGTCATTAGTTCCTATGCAGCAGAGGAGAAAATAGATGTTCAACTGCAGCCAATGAGAATGAAGGATGTTTTTTTTCTGAATCTGACTCGAGAACACCTGTGGAGTGCTGTCAACATAAAGAGGTCACAGAGGTCACAGAGGTCACAGCCCACGTGTGTCCTGGTCTGAGAACATGGTTCTCGCCTTCAGTCATCACTGTTAGCCCAGGACCTGGTCCTCACGGACTCACGGGAATACGAGCCGACTGTGCATTATTTACCTACTGGAAAACTCAACAAATGGAAATCGTTGCCATGGTTTGAGAACCACTGTTTTCCACACGTAACCACACAGAGGAGACTGGAACGTCAATGAGTCAATTAGTCCACGAGTCCTAATTGGACTGTGATGCAACAGCGGCTGCTCCCCGGGGCTGCAGGGCGTGGGTCACATTCAAGGGCCATTATGCCAGTGATGGAATGCGGCCTCTCAGGTGTAAGTGCAGGCGTGCGTTCACACCCTGTACTTAAATAACATTCTCTCTTGTTTTCTGTTTTAAATCTGTCATTTAATTTATCTCTAAAACACAGGTGGCTGTTTCCAGAATCTGTCATAGAATTCAAGGAAGAACACGTCAGGCTGGTCGTAAACCAGAGAGAGCGGCCGCAGCCAGGGCGCCGAACGTTTAATTAGCTGTGAGTGATGGTTTGTGGTGTGTGGAGCAGAGCCACAGAGAAAGTTTTAAATTGTCATTCTGCTGTAACTGCTGCTCATTTCTCTGTCATGATTTGGATTGATCTAATTAACAGGATAAAAATAACCTCAGAAAAGACCAGAGACAAGAGGAGGAAGTTGGAGAGTAGAAGGCATTCCTTCTCACCTCTCTGAACACACACACATATATATACAGATGTACTGTGTGTGTGTGTACATGTTCAGACCACTCTGGGACCATGCCAACCTGTATCACTTCAAACAGCCAGGACCAAATCAAGGTCGGACCAAAGGTGACCTGTGACTTCCTGGACGACTGGTCAATCAGAGGCTTGACGTCAGAATTCCAACTGCATGGATTACTGCTAAATACAACGTACAGCCAGTGGGTTAAGAGCAGCCACAGACTCACTGGTCAAGGTTGTTTCACACCCACACAAGGTTGAATGTTGACGCCTTCTCCACCCATTTCAAATTTTTATTTTTAGACCAGATCATTTTCTTGACTCAACAATGAAACCAAACCTCCATCGTTGAGTGTCCGGCCTTTTGGCTGTTTTTCTCAGCTACTTTAAATGTTTCTCTGGGCTAGTGATAAATCTATCATTGTAAAATGGATAACATTTAGGTATTTCAGAGTTTTTGTGTAATATGTTGCTACTCCTGCTCAAATAATTTAGGGAAGCCTAACATTAAGCATTTTTGTTTTCTCTTTTTTTCCCTATGGAACAAACCTGTGAAGATTATTCAGACAGTGAGTGCAAATTACAACAAGGGTTATTATCTTATCTACGATGATTGAAAAAAAAAAAGTGTCCTAAAAGCACAGGGCTACAACATTTGACTGAACGTAAAACTCCTGACAGTCAGGAACTACAATGACAACGGTGACACCAGGGCACAGTGTCCTACAGCATTCTGTGAATGTTTCTTCATTTTTACAATAAAGCTCACATGGAGAAGAATGCTTTTCATCAACCTCAATATTTAAAATCTCTCTTTAAATACACAGTGTTTCTTGAATGAATGTCTGTGGCTTGACTAAACGGTTGGTCATTGTGGTGTTAATGCCATTTAAATAGTAATAAAATTCTCCACTTGGTTTCGAGGCTTCAGTGTGAATGTCAGTGTGTCTGTGATCCACTCTGCCAGAGAAGGGTTAGACAGTGAATGAATGTCTGGTTTTCTTTTCTCTGCCAAAAATAATTAGTCATTTCCAGACTACTGAGAGCACCTACATATAAGCTGCACCCACAAGATTGTTTTTTTCACTTTTAATTAAATAAATAATTTTTTCCTAACAGTTAACAGACGTAAGGTGAACCACGAAAGTCCTGTAGAAACTGAAGTCCACACCTTATCGTCTTTTTTCCTCACTGTTCTTCGTGCAGGCGGCTCTGTATAAAGCACGGTTTAGAATCCATTTGGCAACTTTAGAAGACTTTTAGGAGAATTCCTCTCTATCAGTAACATTAAGTAGAACCATGGAGCCAACCGTGTTGCCGGAAGTGTTGACACCAATCAGCTACTCGATTGGTGCAGCACGATCACGTGTTGAACCGTGCCACCGCTCGCGCACCAAAATCGTATTGTGCCCTGAAGACGCTAGTTCTTTATAAAATGCTAAATTATATAAAAAACGGGCAGGATATTTTGTGACAAACTTTTTGCTGTAAGTTTAACGTAACTCGTTAAGTTGAGATCGCGTAGTTCCCAGATGTCGGAGCGAGATGAAAAGATAATCAGGTTCACCTTACACACAGCAGCTTCAGAGCCCTGACCCTAGTTCAAATGCACA